GAATTATAGAGAAAATCATAAGGGGTATGGAAAGTTTGTGTCAGATTGATCCAAGTAATTTAAAATACTTGCAGAAGTGGAAGTAAAAGAAGGAAAAAGATGGTGTGTGGAAGTAGATCAATGGAGAAATGTTATGTGCCGGCTGGAAACAAGCACTGGTGCAAAAATAGAGATTTGTTAACGAAATTGCAATTAGTGCTGGTGCCTACAGACAAAGGTATGGGAGTGAAAAGGTGTACATGCTGCAATGGGAAGTTTCACCAAAGCTAGAAGCAGCTGACACACATTTGATACATTCAGGCTTATTCCCAAAAACATTTTACTCCCTGGATCTAACCACCCAGGGGGGGTTATATAAATTTGTATGTGGATGGGTCAGCTTCCGGACAGAAATTAGTTGGTTTTGCAATTGTAGATGTGTATGGAGCATGGGGGAGATTAAATGCATTTAAAAAAGAAAAAACATGAAAGTCCTAGCAATCAATGGACAGGCATTTAGACTTATATGAGATTCAGGAGCCTGTAATACTTGTGTTAAAGATAATGTAAATTCTAAAACCATCTAAAATGCCAATTTTTGTAAAATCTGCAAATGGACATCCTAGGAATGCATGTCAAGTGCAATAAAAATAAAAGACCTTCAAACAGGAAAAAGGTTGCAAGGTTGCATGTTTTTGTAGTAATATCACCAACTCACCTTATTAATCTGTTAAAGTGAGACTTGATGGAAAAATTAGGCATTGCCATTTTCCCCACGCTGGGGGGAATGAAGGCTGTATGAATAACACATGTAATGGCATTGCAACTAAATCATTCTGTGTTTTATGCAACATGCTTATCATCTCTGCTCCATGTCTATCTTTTTCAACTATGGAAACAGCCTTATAAAATTCTGTTCGATGTAAAACCCCAGTTTCAAGATTTAGTATGTGTTTAAATAACTCAGCATTCTTTGCTATCACAATCTTATGAAAATGATCTTAAAGATATTCCAAATGATTTGTGGTCTACAGGAAAAATTGATGAAGGACTGTTGACAACTGTAGATTCAGTTAAAATAGTTCCTAAATCACAATACAGGCCAAGATAAATCTTTTTAGAAGTGCTACGTGCTAATGTTTATATGCACAACAGGAGGGAAATGTTAGGTTTATTCAATGATGATTATATAATTAATGTCTGCGTGTGCATGTGAAACATTTGAGCAAGTAGATGCTTCACTTTGTCTTGTGATTTAGTCAGGAGACCACCCTGCCTTGTAATACAGTCGTGGAGTGTCCTGTCTTGTCTTATGACCTGATCAACTGTCCTGTCAGAACAACACTTTGAGTCATGTTCTGTTAATAAAGTTCTGTTAATGAAGCACTCTGCAGAGGAGGTCCAGTAGAGACTGCACCCAAGACTCTGTTTGAGTCTTGGGTGCAGTTCTGTCTCTCCTCCTGCAGGAAGCTGTTTGAAAATCCCTTACTGTGTATTTCAGTTCTTCTCTTACAAACCTACATTTTTGAACCCAACAGACCCTTAACCCCAGACTGCTCCCTGGGCGCTGCACAATGGCAACACTCTGCTCCCCAAGGGGATGGCTTAAATGCAGACAGTGAATTTCATTGCTATGTACTGGTGACAATAAATTATAATTCTCACAAAATTTCACTAATTCTTTTTCAAAGAAAACAGAGCACTCATCTCCAATAATCCCTTGGTCTTACTTCAACTG